TACTACTACTACTACTACTACTACCACTACCACTACCCACTACCCACTACCGACTACCTACTACCGAATTATGGCGTGCGAACTCCTTAGACACAGGTCTGGACACACACACAGAGATAGCCGTATTCGGCGCTCACATGAATGAAGGAAGGAGAAGGCAGGAAACCTGGAGGAGAGGAGAAAGGAAGGAAGGGAAAGGTAAGGTGGGCGATGTTGTGCCTGGGAGGCGGGAGGCTGCAGCGCAGTTTTTCTCGAATCGCACGATGGCATAGGTGAAGGTCATGTCCTTTTTGGACGTACAGTTCAACCAGTTGAGCAAGCGCTCGCTCAATTGCCGAGGTCGGGTAGGTGTAGTTGCGAATCAAGTGGGCTCGTGGTTGGAGTCCTGACAATCGAAGTCGTTGGGAACCTGCGGAAGCATATAGTCTCGTATTTTCCAAGATGCGTTGGGTGGGATGTAGGTGATGGTGCGCTGGTTGAGGTCGACATCGAAGCCGAGTAGGTGCATGTCATCCACTGGTTCCAGTTCCACGGGGTTGCCAAAGAAGTCCGGGTGGATGAGAGTTTGGAAGGCGATGTGGGTGAGAAAGTCCCGGTTGAAGGTGATGAAGCGGTTGTCCACGTATCTGTACTAGGTGAAGTAGATCTGGGAGTGGTCCACGATGGAGTGATGGAGCTGCTGCCAGGAGTGCTCGATGAGGGTGATGGCGACGCCGGGGAGAGTTGGGACCCAATCCCAGCCCCCCGTACCTGTTAAAAATAGGTGGTACACGCTCGAAAAATGCAAGTCCAAGTGCTAGTGCTAGTGCTAGCACTAGTGCTAGTGCTAGGGTTCGTTGTGTGGGGTGGTGTCGACGGTGCTGACCAATGTGGGAGAGCTGGAGGGGGTCTCCAGTGGCATGGATGTCGATGGCAAGTAGTGGTATCAAAGTTAAGTTGCCATTTGGTGACGAGGCTTTGGACGGCGTCAATCAGTCGGTCTTGGGGTACAGAGTTGAAGAAACCGACGGCGTGTAACTCAATATGGTGCCATAGTTGGGGAATCGAGAGCTGGCCCGGTGCTTGTGGTAGAAGGCGAAAGATCATGGTGTTCAGGACGGTGTAGGTTGCACGGAGCAACACGCCATAGTGGGATTGAAAGTAAGAAATGATCGTGCGGCCCTTGGTCCATTGTTTCTTGGCCTTCAAATGCACGACGCCGTAGGGCATGTTGAATTTGGCACGGAAGCACCATTTGTATTTTTGGCGGAAGTAGGCTGGGAAGGTCTGTTGGATGATCTCACGAATGGTGTTGTCCGTGTCCTTCGGAAGAGGTCGAAATAGTTCAACTGATGCCATGTGGCCAGGCATCCACGAAAGTAGATCTGGGGACAAAAGATGCGAAGGTGCTGGAGTTGCTTGACGGAACTTGCTGTGAACCTGGTCTTGTGATGTAAGTGGTGAAGATGCTCGTGAGTGTTTGGTCACGGTGAGTGAGAGGTGTGGAGAACCGGTTTGTTTGTGGTCCATAGTCGGCGTCTGAGCCTGCGAAACAGCCGAAAGTGGTTGGCCAGCCGTGGGAAAAAGCGTGCTCGATGGCGGCTGAATTGCCAACCGTCGGCTTTGAGCTTCAAATGTTGTGAAATGTAAGGCCAGTTCAATATAGGTTGGCGCTGGGAAATGTAGAGGTGTTCATGCATCCATGCCTGATCGTAGTCCGGGAAGGTGGCAATGTGTATAGTGGAGTAATGTGTGATGGTTCCCGTAGAGTGCCAGTAGCGGAGGGAGAGCTCAGCTGAGATTGGAGTGTTGTTGGCCAATTGTTTGAGTTTGGCTCTTCAGTTGTGTTCGCCCGGGATGCCTATTGCTGTTGAGCCAATGTAGAAATGGCCATGTTGGTGGTATTGTCGTTTTGTGTCGTGAGAATTGAAGTAGAGCTTGAGGTAAACCGAGTTGGGTGAGAGGAAGCGGGAGAAGGTGTAGGTGTCAGGATGGATGTTGAGGTGGGTAAGGCGGGTACGCCATTGTTGCCGCGGATGGAGAGGGTCTGGTAGGTAGCATCATAGCTGGGCGGCGGGGTGTCGTCTTCTGGGGGGAAAGCCCCAGTCCGTGAGCTTGCAGTTTCTCCCGAGCTCGTTGTAATTCAGCTTCCTTGGTGTGGAGCTGACGAATGGCGCTGACTTCAGCGGGAGCTGGGGCATGCTGGTGGATGGTTGCTAAGATCACATCTATGAGCGGTTGCGTGAAGGCGCGGGCGTCGCTGGTCTTGGAAGGCGGGGCCTTTCCTGCGGCTCGATGAAGAGCGTCGGCTGTGGCGTCCAGGTCGAGGTGCTGCTCCCGGACTTGTTGGATCAGGTGTGTCAGGAAGACCGATTCGGCAATGGATCTGGTGGGAACCAGACTGGTGTATTTGCCGTTTGATAGGGCGCGGGCGGTGTAGTCCGAGGTGCCATGGAATGCCAGCAGCCAAGGAAAGACCTGGAAGGTGGGGAGTCCAGCAAGGTTGCGGTTTCTGCTCCATGCCGTAGGTAGTGCAGGAGTTGGAGGCAGAGCACGCTGCATCTTTAAAGTTTAAGCAGTGGCTAGAGGCTAGGGGGTTGCTATTGGATAAGCTAGTGGGAGCCAGAGAGAAGATCACAAGGAGGACAGGAGAAGTCAGTGGGAATCCCCCAGAACTGGGTCTATGCGCATGCAGCGCCCCTCGATGGGGATCACACCACAGCCCTCAGTGGGACTCTGTGGAGACACACACTTAGAACGTTGATCGCAATGGCTGGATCAGTTGACGAAGTTCCAGAAATTAGTTACTGACTACCTAGCACTCTAGTTACTGAATACCTAGCCCTTGACTTGCAGAGCTGAAGGAAAGCTGGGTCGGAGAAAAGGATTGTTGAACAATCACAGTAGATCTTTACCGTGCTTGAAACAATTAGTGCAGGTACGTTCGGAGAGCGTCCTCTCCGAATTTCACAGTCTCAAACCACCGTCTTCGTTGGGCAGTGGATGGAATGAGACTCACTGCCCCCTGCAACATCTCTGCATTACACTCGAGGTGAAGTATGGCGTGCAAACTCCTTAGACACAGGTGTGGACTCACACACAAGATTGCGCTGCAATATCAAGTTTTCGTTACGGAAGTAAACTAAGCATGACGCCCTACTTTACTGACCCAATACTCTGTTGAAGAGCTCAAATACTTGGCCTCCCAATTCCCTCTAACACGCCATCAACAGGTATATAATATATATATATATACATATATAGGCACAGTTATAGGCACTACTACTAATGATGGCATTGCAATTGGTGATTGTGTCGCAGACTCCGAGCGGAATGAATGCGGACGGATCCAAGCGCTGCTCGTCAGTGATGTAGTAATGACAAGAACGGTAGACGCCTCTGGATGCAAATTCTCATGCTATGTTCAAAAGCCAAAAGGACAAAGAACGCGTTGAGACCCCTTGCTTCATGGAAAGTCACCTACCCCAGGTTGCATCGCAACTCGCAGGTCGCAGATATCATTTTTTGGTTCCAGACATCTCCTCTGCCCTCGACATCCACAGTTTGTCCACTTCACAGAGCCCTCAAATTCGTGCGTTCGGCCTCAAGTTTTCTCCGGCGCTGCGTTTTCCCACGCCGCCCATAACCTACACCCCTCGGGCCACGCGCCACGCGGTCCTGGGTTTGGATATCTGGCTCTACGGCCTTTCCCGCCTGCCGCCCACATCTGTTGGCGCGCATGTAGTATTTGCATGGTATCGTGTGCCCGCATGTGTCTGTGTGTGTGGTGGCCGCAGTGGTGGCCCAACTTTCAGTGACTCGGACATTTTTCATCTCAACTTTCGTTTGCCGGTCGTTTTCTGCTTCAAGTGCATCTTGTCGCAGTTGATGAATACACACTGCCAATGAAGGATGTAGCAGCCAAATATGTTTTCGAGTACCTGAATCCCTTGTGTTCTAAACTATTCTGCTCCAGATTTTGGTGTTAGCTGGCTATACAGACAATTCTGTGAATGAATGTGTGAAGGAGACTACCACTGGGAGAAAGAGGACATACCAATGACAGATACGTGTGTTCATGTTCTGTTTTTTTTCAGAATGTTTTCTTGCTATGTTGGAGACCATCGCTAGTATGTTGGAGGCCATTGTTATCAAGTTGGAAACCATCAGGTTGGAGGCCCTCGCTAATAGGTTGGAGGCCATCGCTAGTAGGTTGGAGGCCATCGCTAGTACGTTAGAGTCCGTTAGAGACCATCGCGAGCCGGTTGGAGGCCATTGCTAGTACTGTAGGTTGGAGGCCATCGCTAGTAGGTTGGAGGCCATTGCTAGTGTTTTCTTGCCATGTGAACATAGTGACGTCGCAGGGGCCTCTTTGCTGATCCGTATCTCGCTGTGAGTCTCGTGCGTGCAATTTTATGAGAGCACTCCCTGACAAAGACGGCAAGGCCTCGCAAATGGCATCTAACACGGCTCCTTGTTTGAATTGAAACATCCCAGGAAATCTCCTTCACTGCGTCTTCTGCCCCTCGTGACATTGACGAAACTCCATCCGCCCAAACCAAGCTACCAGCTGCCTCTACATGTTGTCCAAATCGATTTCATGAATAGAACTATCCACTGGTTTGTTTGTTGTGATCTTGAACCGACCACCGATTCCCGTCTAATATCAGAAGCCGAGCATCCATTTGCGGAGGGCATGAGGCTTTGATGATTTAAAGCTGTGGCTGTTGACACCATGTTTTTTGGAGACACAGGGATGCTGTTGATTCACCGGCGAAGCATTGGTTTCCACAGCAGTCACACAGAATTTAACCTCAATCGTTGGTCACATTGGCCAACTCCTTGTTCTGGCTGCCAGAAATTCCTTGTATGTCCATGTAATTATGTCCATGTATTTCTGGGTACGAGAAAGGGGCCGCTCAAGGCTGTATGAAGCTGATTCCAGACAGGTTGACGATCTCGATCTCGATCGTTGGCTGCTGTCAAATAGATGTAATTCGTTGCCTCCTTCATCTGCAATCGATTTAATTGCAAGATGTTTCCGGCAGCCGCTTTGATATGTCCACAACAAACCTTTCAACAACATGTTTGACCTTCTCCTTGGAAAAGACCATCAAAGCTGGCGCCATTTTATATATATAAAGTTGGCCGAAAAGACAGCCTGCGCTGTCTGAGACCGCGCAGCAGTATGTTCAGCATCGCAATGTTCAGCGCAACTGGGCGCGATCCGGAAGACTAGCTGTAGCTCCAAAGATGGCAACAGGAGGGTCAACATGATGACTAGTGCCATGGTTTTTGGTTTTGATGGTTTCAGTGGGATGAACTGCTTGAATAGATGGCGATGCTCGAAATGCCCATGGTCTATTCTTTCGAGCCTTTCTAAGCTCTCAGTGCGCAGCGTGCTTTTTCTGGAAAAACGCCTGTGGGTAGGTAGACTGGTAGAATCTGGTAGACTGTTGGGTAACAGCAAGCCTTCACCAGTTGATGTTTTGGGAACTGCGGAGGGATCAGGGGTATGATGTGGAATATATCATACATATATCCTATGATGTGGAGTATATCCACATCATCGTATAGCCTATGATGATGTATGATGTGGATTTGGTCAAAACCTTGGAGCCCAGATCTCAAGGTCCACTCATCCTTGACAATTCATGCGGGCCAAGCAAGACCCACGCACCGAGATCAAACACAGGACCTTTTGCTACCGAAAAACCACCAGCACAGACTGGGCTGCTGAGGGCAATCTACAAAGATGCGCAAGATCCGCAGCGGAACACAGATCCTCTGGGCGCGCGTGTTCGTTTTCACTCGACAGACGAACAATGAGTGAACTCCCCAATGACTGGGACGGGGGGAAAAGGTCCCCCCGAGTTCTCTCTTGGTTCGGATGACATCTGGTCCTCCTGCCTGGTCTCCTGGCTTCTTCCAGGGACCGGTGATTTATCGTTTTTGGTCAGAGAGAGAGTCCAAGAAGTGGAAGCAGAAATCAAGAGACCAGTCTCCACGGATTTTGAATTTGTTTTGCTTCTTCCATCACAGGAATGTGTCTCGTTCCTCTTGTGAACCTCTGGTCATCAGTGTGGATTAGAAGTCGAACAGTGGCCGCCCCCGAAAACCCTCATGAAGTCACATGAAGGCCTCCTTGGCTTGCTCTATGGGAAATTCGTCTCCCTTGGGCTCTTTGACCCGACCATTTTGGAGAATGAAACAGGTTATTGGAGAATGGCTGGGCGCGAACAAAAAAGGACAAGCAATCAGGTGAGTTTGTTTTCACAAAATGTTGGTCATCTAACATTTGGATACATGATACATTTGGTTTAGTGAAGTAGCAGAAGCACAGAAAGGCGGATTTGTTCCTTACTAAAGGTAGAAGGATTTGGCGCACTTGTGACAGTCTGCACTGCTGGACCAAACGTGTATACCAATCGTCAAAATAGTCCAGAGTCAACAAGGCCAGTAATTACAGGGCAGTGTAGTGTACTAGTAATACTTAAGATATCTTAAGATAATCATATAGACAATCCATATATTTGAGTTGTTTGTAGCATGGTGTTGTAATAGTTTGCAATGCTTGGAAAGGTTGTGAATTGCACTGGTGGTCAGCTTTTTTGGTGTTGTGAGATGTGTTCTGTCTAAATAGATGTTGGTGCTGGTCGCAAAAATGCTTGTTATTATTTGCCATAGAACTACTGTATTTGAAAGCGCACCATTTTTATTCAGAGTATCCATTAGTTTCCAATGTTATTGTTGTGGAACAACTTGACGTTAAAACGGTGCTTGGAGTTGTATCGATGGTAGACAACACGTACACATATATATATATTACACATATATATCATACAATTATATACATCCACTCTACAGAAGCAATCAAAAGAGCTTGAGCAACAAGGGACACATGTGGAACAAGCGACACGTGCAGTCAAGTGTTGTTGGCTTTTGGCTCAAAGAAGGCTATTCAAGTAAAAACACCAACTTTCATGGGAATGATCTTGGCGCATCTGGCCCTCTCTTCGTCAATCATTCTTACAAATGTAGCCCTTCTTGAATGAGAAGAACTCAATCTTTACGTCACACCTGGACCCTTGACTTCGAAGAAACAGTTCTCGCCACAAATAGAGAGTTTGAGACAGTTTCGGGTTGGGTCTCCGAGAGACAGTGGATTCTGCGCGGATTCTGCGCTTCAAAGTTTGCATGCGGGCTGGACTGTGCTGCTTCTCCACGACCAGTCTCATCGCGTTTGATATTAATCTAGGCGCCCCCTTCAGAACCCTCAGTGTGCGCTGTGTGCGCCTTTTCGTGCCATGGGCAAGCGGAAGTGGCATGGAAGAGGCAAAAGCAAAGGAGGTGGCAAGGCAAGCGGGCTCTTGCACATGTTGAACTTCAGAATCTTGTATAATAGGCGCATTTCTTGAATAGGAACAAGAGCTTTTCCACTATATATTGTATTTGACCGAGCAACTTACAGATCTAAGTCTGCCTAGAAGAGGAACACGAAGCCTGGGGTCTTGCGATTGCATTGAACGCATGGACTGCTTCCTGCCCATGTTGACATGGAAGGGGATCCAAATCGAACCCAAAGATCGCCGAAGGGGGCGGGAACGCTAGTAGCTCCTGGCAATACTACTAGTAACAAGAAGCTACTAGGAACAAGTGCATCGCTACTAGTAACAAGGGCATTACTACTAGGAGCAAATAGCTACTAGAAGCTGCTAGGAACAAGGTCATCGCTACTAGTAACACGGGCATTACTACAGGAGCAAATAGCTACTAGTATTACACCGGCATAGACCCCAGATAGCGAGTGTATAGGTTTAAAGGACACGCCACGGACGGCTGGCACCGTAGAATGCAACATCAGACCAGTCATGCGCAACATCTATCAACTGAATGCGCCCGCGTTGCCCAACACAGACATAAAACTGCAAGATCGGCAAGGCCCAACCAAAGCTGCCTAGACGACATCATGACCATTGCTGCGCAACACGTTGTCATGCACAATATGACAGCATGATGTCATCCGTGGCATGACATGATGTCACCCCGGGCATGACATGATGTCATCTCTGCATGACATGATGTCATCCGTGGCATGGCATGATGTCATCCCTGGCATGACATGATGCCCTCCCTGGCGTGACATGTCGTCGATGTCATCCCTGGCATGACAGGTTGCCGTCCCTGGCATGAAATGATGTCATCCCTGCTATGACATGATGTCATCCTTGGCATGACATGAAGTCATCCATGGCATTTCATCATGTCACCCCTGGCATGACATGATGTCATTCTTGGCTTGACATGATGTCGTCCCTGCATGACATGCACCAGCACCAGCATGGCACCAGCCCGGGCAAAACAAAACCCCAATCCAGCCAGCGCCAGCACCAGCACGGCAGCAGCACCCGCAAAACGAAACGCGGATCCAGAGCCAGCGCTGGCACCGCAGCAGCACCTGCAAAACGAAGCGCCGATCCAGCGCCAGCACCAGCACCAGCGCGGCAGCATCGCTCGCAACTCGAAACGCCGATCCAGCACCAGCACCAGCACCGCAGCAGCGCCCGCAAAAGGAGACGCCGACCCAAAGCCAGCGCCAGCACCAACACGGCAGCAGCGCCCGTAAAACAAAACCCTGATCCACAGCCAGCACCTGCGCCCGCACCAGCATCAGCTAGGCCGCAGCACCGCAAAGCCAAAACGCCGATCCAGAACCAGCACCTGCACCAGCATCAGCTTGGCAGCAGCACCCGCAAAACCAAAACGCCGATCCGAGCCAGCACCTGCGCCTGCACCTGCTTCAGCACGGCAGCAGCACCTGCAAAGCCAAAATGCCAATCCACAGCCAGCACCTGCACCCGCGCCCGCATGAGCACGGCAGCAGCACCCGCAAAACCAAAACGCCGATCCAGAGCCACACCATTGATAAGTTAAAGGCCCTGTAGCCTGTGGCTATCTGGGGAACTAGGAACAAGGACATCGCTACTAGGAACAAGGGCATTACTACTAGGAGCACATAGCTACTAGTAGCAAGAAACCACTAGAAATAGGGGCATCGCTACTAGTCACAAGGGCATTACTACTAGGAGCAAGTAGCTACTAGGGAATACAAGTGGGTCGACACCAGTCCGACAGAGCTCATTTTGTTGGTCAAGGGAAGTTGAGATGCCGTGGTTGGTTTTGTTAGTGCATGCCACGCCATGTTCCACCCAGGAAGGTCTAATCATTTGTACCGACAAAACATGTTTTCCTAGTTACTAACATGTAGAAAAGTGCCGTTTAGTTCTGGAAACTCCTCAAGGTGCGAGCTTTACTTTGCACCGCACATTGAGAAACGAATCAAAGTGATGGTATTGGACAGCCAGCCGGCATATTGCACTCTCTGAAGGTAGATGTTTCGTGCGGCCGCATTGCAAATAAACAGCCTGGCCTGGGATCTCCCGTTAGCGGCTCAGATGTTCTGAGGGGAAGAAGAAGGCCCGGAACAAGGACTCCTCAGAAAAAAGTAAAGCAAAGCGATGCCCAGCTGCACCGTCCATCGAATTTCTTCGTCCATCATGCAAGATTGTGGCAGAAGTGCATAGGCCAAGCATATAGAAACTATTAAAACGTTACAAAACTAATATGTGTATATATTCTAATCACAATCGTGAACAATACATTTGCAAGGTTCTTTTCCATCACCCTCAGACGACGAAAGACGGAAGACTGAAGACTGACTGGGAGGCCAAGCTGTTGTTGAGCCTTGCGAAATGGATGTTAGACCATCCATGACTTCGTTTTAAACCTGATTGGGGTCGGCCATAGGTGAAAATCAGTCGTGAGACAGCCGAACGTTCGATCGTGGTTTGACATGGTTCTTTCGTTAGTGCCGACTGCTTGAACTTCTGAAACTCAGTGGCACCTTCCCCCCAAACTGACGGAGCAACAGAGAGACTTTGCCAGATGACTTTCATCCTTGTGGTGTCCACATCATTCAATCTGCAACAATGGGACATACTTAAATGGTTCAACATGGTTCAACAAAATGGTCAACATTGCGCCCAAACAATCTCACTGTCAGAAACTGTTGGTGCCACCAACTGAAGAATATCACAGTGTCTGAAATCTACCTGCTCTGCTTGCTTTTCATTTGGAGTCTTGTTTCTTTACGCATCGTTGCCCTGAATGGAGACATGTGGGCGTATCTATTCTTTTCACATTGGTAGATTTTAGATCTATGAGAGATTGATCACCACTCGTTGCACATGAACCAATTGGAAACATCAAGGGAAGAATCAGAAACGACCTCTGGATCTAGCCAAAGTTGCAAAGTAAAGTGGTGCATCAGCCAAAGACCGACCCCAACACGAATAGACTCGACCAACAGAACTCTCTTGAAACTTAGAAGCTTGTTGTATTATTTGTTTATGCGAGTGCCAAGGACCTCTGGGACCTATGCCCCAGTCTGCAGTGCTGGTCACCAGCCACACCCCAAGCCAATGTCAAAAGGCGACTCGCGCCTTGTCAGCAGCTTCTGGAGTTATTTGCTCAGAAGGTTCGGGACCTGCAAAATGCTTCGGAGATGCTCGGAGTGGATTTTTATGGTTTTCACCTTTTTGAAAGGAAAGAGCTTCCAAGCCGGGCGTGGGGGGAGTTCTTTTTGGGCTAGGGCTCTTGAATTCGTCCATGCGCCTCGGACATCGCAGGTAGTGAAACACCGACTTCCCAGCTGGTCAATACCTCGCAGAGGATCTGCTCTCCGAAAAACTTACCTCTTTCACATTCTTTCACAAAGCACGGCATCTTTTTCCAAAGAAGCAGTCATGACGTCCTTCGCACGCGCAGTACATTCACAAAACATCTTTCCACATAATACCTCATAGTACCTTTGAATGTGACGTCTTTTCCACCAACAATACCTCATAAGACCTTTCTTTCCTCACACCGGGGTCTTTCCGTTTTCACGCGACGCGTCTTTGGACGTCACCGACCGGTCAACCGCGTGGGTCAATTTGGCAAGTTCAACACGGACCCACCTGGGCGCCATGAGAAAAAAGGATCTGGTTGGTAACAATTCCTGGACCCGATCTATTTTAAGGGCTAGAGTGTTCCAAAGTCCAAAGAAAGCGCCTCCAAGAGTCTCGCTTGGTTGTACATGTATATAGCTTTCTGAATATAACATATCAATTCCCCAACATGTCTATAGTAGTATGTAGGTGTTGTGTGTGTGTTGTGGTCTTGTAGTCCCTTCCGTGCGCCTCGAGCACCTCCTCGCACAGGTGAAGCCATCCGCCTCCTCGAGCGCCTCGACGAGCTCCACAGCTTGAGCTCCACAGCTCCGGCTGAGGTCCCGGAGCTGTCGGTGGGAAAAGCGCTGGAGGAGGAATTGGCAGCGTTGAAGGCCGGGGACGAAAGAAAGTTCAGTCTTGGAGATGGAGGGAGGGGAGTAGGTTGCACTGTTTGGCGAGATTTGAACTGAACTTCAAAGAAGTGGATGAGGTCATCTCCATAAACGCATTCCAGACAGTTCAATTCACCTGATTTTCAGGAGCCCAAAGACCAGCGGCCTTTCCGCTTCTACTGTGAGGCCGCAAATTTCTCGATGGGATGGATCACAGGCTTCAAGTCTCCGTAGAAAGGTCAAGCCGAAACCACTTGTCACTTGTGGATACTTGTGGGAAGAAGATCATGATATGCTGGTGATGCAGACTGGAAAAACACCTACTGTAATATGAAACAAGAGTAACTGTAACTTATACTTCCAAAGAATGATTATAGTATACAAATGACATCGCATTTTGGGGGGCACATACGAACCTCTTGTCGCACCTTTGATTGGATGCAGCACCCATTTGAAAGAGTTGGGGGATTTGTCATCTTTGTAAACCGGAAAGGTGGGGCGAGTGTTTATGCAGGCGGCAATAGCGGAAGCCAAGACAAAAAGAACGCAAGAATGAACCTCACAGGTTCTGCAAGTTGTCCTTTTTCCCTTAGCCTTTCCAAACTGGGAGCTCAAAAATCTGAGATCTCCCTCGCCTGGAACTACTCTGCATTGACCAACTCCTGTGCAACTCCTCACACCACATCTCTGTCGTGCCGCCCATGCCCGTCGACAGCAGCCGGAGTTTCCTCGTTGCCGATAGCAGAGCGATGTTCGTCTGTTGCCCCTAGGTCCGCAGAAGGCATCGATGAACACCAGCTCATTGATGATTTCCCCTATCGGAGACACACCCCATTCACCAAAGGCCTTCACTTTGCTTCACTACAATGTGGTTATGAATTAACATCATATAACAGGATGCGAGCATCGTTTGGTTTTTGCACGGCCCATGTTTGGCAGTGCAAGGTAAAAAGACAACAACACTTTCATATCAATGTTCATACACTATTACAATCTATTACATACTATTACTATAATTGCGGTATTATTCTGATTATTTAATACCCGTTTCTTGGGTTTCTGTATCACAAATTTGAACCTTTCCCCTACACACTATCAACTGGTATGAGCCCCTTGGTGGATCCCGTTGCGGGGGGGGTCCTGATTTGCTAGTTTTCCTTCCCTTTTTGAGAGGTTGCAACAAGCTGAACCGATTTTAAAACTCAGGCTCCTTTAAAGTTTTAAAGAGAACCCCCTTGGATGAAAACGGGATGAAAGCACCAGGGCCGAAGTCGAAGAAGAACAGGATCCATGTTTCGATTCGGGTCCTCCTTCACTAAACCGACGCCTGCCCATGGTTCCACGATGTTTCGATCCTCATGCCGGCCCGGCTCGGTGTTGATCCTCAGGTGAGCCGCGGCGTGGCCCTCTTGAGCGCCGCCACGAAGCCTTCCGCCTTGGTCTCGAAGCTCTTCGCGCGTCAGGTCTCCAGAACCACTGGAACGCCCGTGCGCTTCGTGGTGCGTCGCTCGATGCAAGCAAGAAGCAAAGCACTGGGAGGTAAGCTGTGGAGAGGAAGGAGCGAGCTGATGAGCTCAGGGTGCATTTTTTCTTGCTGCACCGCCCCAAAAAGAGTTCTTGTGCTACTACCGGACTCGAAACTCGTCACGCATGTTTGGCTTCGATCTGCACTGCCTAAGATGGGGCTTGTGCCACTGACGCGGAGGTCGTGCTAGTTTGGCTTCGACCTCCCAAAAGAGATCTGAAGGTCTAAAGGACAGTCTGACGAGGTTGTTTGGTTCACCGCGGACAGCTGGCTCTTTGACACCCCCTTGACATTTCTTCCCCACCAATGTATGATGATCTCAGATAATTATCTCATTTCCCAGTTGGAGTACAAACCCACTTGATTGTTGTGCCTATTTCAGATTGCGTGTTTTGTTGTTGGTGTTGTCCAATGACCACGTTTCCTTCGTTTCTTTTCACCTAGCAGGACGAGAATCCCATTGAGCTAAGACTCGGATGTTCACCAACATCCGAGTCTTTCAAACTACTTCCAGAATGACCAGAAAGAGCCATAGTTGACAGACATGTACAGGCAGAACCTGCGAGAACTGATCATTACATGATCATCCGTTTCACCTTGCACACAAAGATGCGACAATACATGCATGTTGTCCTTTGTGCGTCTGTTATTGTCAACATCCAATTATCTGCAACAACGAATAACAGGTTTTGCTACTAAACAGTGAATCCAAAAGTAGCACCGACCTCTCATTTGCGCCTTTTGGCAAAGCCGGTTTGGAAGCTGTCATGAAATTAGAGGGCTAGGTTCTGAGGGTGAACGGGTGAACTAAAGAACATGAAGGAAGAAATCAAGCTAAAGATTGTGCAAACTTTCGCGGCGCCAGTCCCCTTTCCCAATGACTTGTCGGGGCCTACAGCGCATCAGTTGCGCAAAAACAAAAGGTCAAAAGGGGATACTCATTGGAGTACGCTCAGTCCCTGATCAACTTTATGCTGACCTGCAAAGTTGTCAGTTTTTCAGTTCTGATCCAATGGGCCCAAAAGTCACTTGGACGGTAATGTTGCTCGACTTTGGTAGTTGGTTTCCTGTCCTCCAGGTCAATCGCAATTTACACAAGTACGCTTGCCAATTCAGCTCCCGCTTCAAGCGACTGACCCTCCTTGAGGGAATCAGAAGCACAGCACTTCGTTTCAAGCATGCTAACACGTTGACGGACTTCATTTTTGGTAGAGTTAGTGGGCTTTGTGGTTCTTTCAAGCCTTCCTCTGCTGTTCGTGCTTGGTTTCTTCTTGCTAATGCTAGTTTAGAGCTCTATGCTGACACCCATAAGAACTGTATCGAATTAGGCTTTGAAAGCATTCGTAGGTGCCCTGTGTGTTTGTCTACCAAATTCTCCATTGATCCTCGCACTCGCGATTTTGCATGTTTGTTTTACCTTCGATCTCTCGGGCCTCAGAGTCTGAGTGTTCTGCAGAACAAAACATGAGTCAAGCTAAAGGAACCACTCCTACTGCCCCCCCAACAGGGGGGCACCCAGAACTGCATACTGAAGGGTCTTGCAGCGCTCATGGAATCCACATGTGTGGATCTGGAAAAGGTTGTCCTGCATGGACTCTGATGATCTTAGGACTTAGCATACGACGCAATTGGGCAACAAGTCATGGCCAACTACAGACAAGGCTTAGGAGCACTCACGCTCATAATATTCGGAGCATTGTGGGGTCAGAAGCAGATTCTGTGGAGGTGAAGCTTCTTCACAATTCTGGACTTGGTCAAAGTCATAGTCACAGTCGCCCTCTAGTCATAAGTCATAGTTATTCTCTTTAGACCCATTTATTTCTCATGGCTCAGGAATCTCACTTGTCCTTCTAGTTAATCACACTCATTGATTGGCAACCTCCTCTCTGTGGCGATCGTCGCCTCTCACTGCAGCATTTGCAAAGTCTGCATGTCCCCGTGTCGTGGTTGCATCTCTCATTGCTTTGGTTCGGAAGACCATTGTGATGCAGGAGAGCTGACATGTCTTCCAGACTCCTCAAGCTTTCGTGCTTGTTCAGTGATGTGTCAGCCAGGCTCTTCCACAAACATTGCGCACCAGTTTGCGCACCCAGTTTCTTCTTCAGCCATCAGCCTGGGCCTGCTTGTTTCGAGCTGGACCTGCTTTGTTTGGAGTGCTCTGCATCGTTTCCCTGTCCAGAAGCATGCCAAGAAAGAGCCAGAATTGTTGTGAATGGTTCAACTGTCAAAAGTCATAGAGTATAGTCGTCTACGCGCGGCAACGGCATGGTCCAGTCACAGACCACACATCATGAAGTGGCGCGCCAGTTCAAGTTCCAAACACTTGTTGCCCCAAGACGGCCTCATTGGCAAACTGACTTCTAGACTTGTAGCCTCCCTCCTTTGGGTGCCAAAGTTTGAGACGCTGACAGAGTTTTTCATGCCGACAAACTCCAGGGTCTTGAGGTTTTGTTGGGGGCACTTGGCTCAGTTTACCTTTGGGCGACGCAATCATGGCCCTACTGAACCGAAGGCATCCAGGCTCGTTCCAACTTTTGGAAGCGTTTGTATTTGGTGTTGGCATGTGCGGTCAGCGAGTTCACTCTAGTTGGATCAGGCTCCGCAAACTCTTGGCTTTCATGCCAGACGATGGTGCTCAAATGGTGCTCTGAACAACAAACAGCCTTTCCCTCGGGTCGCAGCCCAGTTTTGGCGTTTGTGGATTTGCTTTCAGTCGCATGTTGTCCTTTGGTCTGCGCCTGCTTCATGCGACTCCTCAGGGGATCAAACCGGGGAACATCGTGGCTGGGGATGGTGAACCTCATGAGGTGCCAATCTGCAGCACGGTTTTTCCCGAAAGCACCTGCGAAGGGTTTTTCCTTAAGCACTGCTGCCTATTTCATCTTCCTTAATCTCTTTCTCTTACTTCATCTTCCCCACTCTCTCTTCCTTACTCTCTTTCTCTTACTTCATCTTCCACCCTCACAACATCATCATCTAATCATCACCTCATAGGTTATTAATCTCATATCATATCATATTATATCATATCAGGTTATAATATCATATCACATCACATCAATGTCATAACATATCATATCATATCATGTTTTAATATCATATCACATCACATCAATGTCAGATCATATCATCTCATATCATGTGATAAAATAATATCACATCACAACATAACATATGAAGTAGAAGTATCAGATCAACAATATCAAAGTACATCAGAAGTAGATATTGATAGGTAGGTATTGATAAGTGGGTATAGACAGGTAGGTGTAGGTAGGTAGGTGTAGATAGGTAGGTGAAGATAGGTAGGTGAAGATAGGTAGGTGTAGACATCTTCCTTAAGACACCTACCCAACTTCACCTACCCAACTTCTTCTTTATTCTTCTCTTTAGGCGGCGGGGCGGTGCGAGCAGGTCTTACGAAACGCAACCCTCTCGTGGAATCGTGGCCATCGATCGCGCGCGCGTGTGGTGAGACGCGAATCGCGTTTGTCCGTGAGCAACCCTCTGCGGAGATCGTGCGTGTCGATCGCGCGAACGTGTGGTGAAACGTACATTTTTGGTGTGCGCGGTGCGTTCCGCCATTATAATTCTGGTGACAAGGTTTTGTCGATTTTGCGCTTCCCCATTGTAACTCTGGTTTCAAGGTTTGCCCTCGAGCAACCCTCTGCGGAGATCATGCGTGTCGAGTGCACGAACGTGTAGTGAAACGTACATTTTGTCTGAGCGCGGCTGGGCGCACCATTATAATTCTGGTCACAAGGATGTCGCCAATGTGCGGTCCGGACCGCATACTCATTGGGAAATGCGATTCCAAGGTCTGTGCCCGGTCTGTGCCCGGATCGTTCCCCCATTGTAATTCTGGTCGCAAGGATGTCGCGAATGTGCGCTGCGGACTTCATACTCGTTGGGAAATGCGATTCCATGGTCTGTGCCCGGAGCGTTCCCCCATTGTAATTCTGGCTCGAAGGTGTTCCTGTGTCATCGCTCGGAGCGTAGTTACATTGTGTTTTGCAAGCTTTGGTTGCTAATCGCCTTATAGTTCTGGCTCGAAGGTGTTCCTGTGTCATCGTTTGGTGCGCAGTTACGTGGTGTTTTGCAAGCTTTGGTTGCTAATCGCCTTATAATTGCTACTGCAATGGTTTCCAACGTACTTTTTTCCAAGTTTTGCCGCTTTCATTTTTCTTATAAATCTCTTTTAAAAAACGCTTCGAAATCGCAATTTTTGGAGCTTGGACGTCGAGATCCGGTTTTGGGAGGCTATTCTCTGTGCTTGCGGTGCGCAGTTACATGTTGTTTTGCAATCTTTGGTTGCTAATCGCCTTATAGTTCTGGCTCGAAGGTGTTCCTGTGTCATCGTTCGGTGCGTAGTTACATGGTGTTTTACACGCTTTGGTTGCTATTCGCCTTATAGTTCTGGCTCGAAGGTGTTCCTGTGTCATCGTTCAGTGCGTAGTTACGTGGTGTTTTGCAATCTTTTGTTGCTAATCGCCTTATAATTGCTGCTGCAATGGTTTCCACCATGTCTGGTGTAAACCATGTCTGGTGTAAACGGTGTCTGGTGTAAACGCTGTCTGGTGTAAACTGTCTATGGTGTAAACTTTTTCTGGTGTAAACCTTTGTTGGCTTTGTCTGGTGTAAACGGCGTCTGGTGTAAACCGTGTCTGGTGTATACGGTGTCTGGTGTAAACGCTGTCTGGTGTAAACTGTCTCTGCTGTAAACTCTTTC